ATTTCATATCCAAGACTAAGAAAAACCACTCACAGAGCTCTCTTTGAAAGGCTGGACTGCAGTCTCCCTGCATGGCTGTGTCCCAACTGCCACGAGGACAGCCTACTGCTTCTGCTTCCCATGTGCTCCTGCACCACAGGCCACAGATGGCTTTGAGTGACTCCACCTGGTGTTCAATTTCTTCTCCCCCTGGCACATCTCCAGGCCTCCTTTGTATGTGGGATCTTCATCCCCCTTGTACATTTGAAGATAAAGGAGCACAACTCTGGAACCGCAGTCCTGAGTAGCAGTCTTAGTTGGGCCTTGTTCCAGCCAGGTGATTCGGACACGCCCTTGGCCCTGTGTCCCAGCTCTCCATGCTGTTCAGTCAAGGAGAGAGACTGGTGACCAGGAAGTCACCCTTCCTAGCATCAAGTTTACAGGTAGCCCCAGACCCAAAATGGCAGCGCTTTCTGTTTCCAGAAATGCCTGTGTAAAATCAGCTCATTCTTAAACAGCTACAATTTTTATTTTAAAAAGAAAACACATATGCACAAATAGGTTTAAGTTTATAGGCAAGTGCCAGAATTTAGGGAGCAGATGGCTTAAAGCAAAAGGAAGACCAACTAAAAAGCAGGCGTTTAGTCTACCATGCCATATACATGTTCCTCAAGTCTTCATATTCTGCCCATTTGTGTGCTAAAGACTAATGGGGTGCCAGGCACAGTGGCACACACCTGGAATGCCTGCAGCTCAGGAGGCTAAGGAAGGGAGCATCTTGAGTTCAAAGCCAGACTCAGCAACTTTGCAAGGCCCAAAGCAACTCAGCAAGACCCTGTCTCAAAATACAAAAAAGGTCTGGGGATGTGGCTTGGTGGTTGAGTGCCCCTGGGTTCAATACCTGGTACAAAAATAAGTAAATAAATAATAGACTAATGAAGCATATGGGAGAACTAGGGTTAAACCAGACCCTCAAAGCCATGGAGATTTGTAATTGGAGCATCAACAACACAAACAATAATCATCCTATTAAAAATGAACATTGGGCTGAATCCCCACAGTGGTATTTATGTAGCCTCATCTCAACCTGCATATCCCTGAGCTGACTGTGATGTGCCCCATGTGACCCTGCAGCTGGCCTGGAAGAAGGTGGCCCCAAAGTGAGGTGTAGGAATGTGATATATTAAATCTTTATATTGCTTTTACTAATACACATATTAATATACTTATTTTATTTTCACCACTTTGTATTTGTTTTATGTGGCAATATATGAGTACGTACACTTACGGCATTTATACTAAAAATATTCACAGACTCATACTTGGGGTTGTGCTCATGACTTTTTTTATTGACCAGGATATTATAGGGAGACCATTGTTAGGCGAAACAGCCTTGCTCCCTCCTGTATTCCTGAATGGGTGAGGAGTTCCCAGGTAGAATCCAGGGACTGCGGAGAATTTCATCATTCTGGAGTGAGTCTGGAGATAGCAGATGAAGCAGACATTGAAGATGAGTGAGGCTGGGATTTATTTTCCTCTTTTGGAAAATTGGGAAATTAAAGCAAAGTAGAGAGAAAATTGCTCAGACATTTTTATAACTCAGTATGTGACTTTATCATGAGGTCAGTTCTTTTTAGAGTTCTAAGATGTTTGAAAGGAGACTGAGAACAGGTGGTTTTGGTCTCAAACTTTTCTGCAGGACAGCTGTGGCCTCTAGTGGCAGGTGTTCCAGGAGGGGGCACTGAATGGACACCAGCATGTGAGCAGGTGACTTAATTAAGAGCCACTGCAGCTTCTCTATGCCCACGATAGGCCCTCTGGCTGCTGCAAGGAGAAATGGCTGCTTCCGGCAGTTGGCAATTCTGTTTGATAAAAGGGTGGCAACTGGGTTATAGGAAGGTAAATTCAAGGAGACACCCTACATATTCCTCTGGTTTTAAAATGTGGCTGTCCTCAAGAAAAGTCAGAACAGTAAATGGCATAATAAAACTGCTCATGTGATATTTTTCTTATTTCTATATCAAACATTTTCTTAATGCCATGTCTCAGGTATTGTTTGAAGTACTTTTGAAGACAGGAACTCAATAATCTTAAGGGTGGGTACTGTTTTTAGCCCATTTTGCAGATAAGGTGTCTGAAGCTCAGAGAGGTGGTGTCACTTGCTTGTGTTCACACAACTTCAGTGGTAGCAATGGGGCTCCCATGTGCACTCAAGCTCCTGCCTGTGCCTCCAGCCTGGTATCTGTGACCTCACTGAAATGGGATGTGGGGGTATGCTTTGCTCCACCTGCACTGAAGAGTCAAAGCAGTTTTGTCCTTTTTTGTTTTTAATTGGTGCATTACAGTTTTACACAACAGTGGGAATCATTGTTACAAATTCACACCGCATCTTTTTTTTTAATTGGAGCATTATAATTTTACATAATAGTGGGAATTGTTATTACAAATTCACAGTGTATTTTGTCTTGTATAGGGACTCCCAACCCTTTCAGAACTATTATTTTAATTTAGTTTCAAAAGACACTTTTCTAAAAATATTATTCTGTATGTATTACAAAAATGATTTTCTTTTATTGTCCTCCATTTGCTGAGCACTGTGAGGCTCTATAGACATGAATTCTAATCTTTAAATCTGCCAGGAAGATATCTGCATCCATTTCATTGACGAGAAAGTAGAAGCTCAGCAGGCTGTCCCTTGGCTGATGAAAGCCAACGCAGGAACCCAGGTCTGCAGCTGCTCTTCTTTGTTCTGAAACTATAAACGGGTCCATCTTGAGCGCCATGTAAGGGCATCGATTAGTTTCACCCAGTACCCTGAGATCCCTTTGGTGTGCCAGTGACTAGGGGCATGTGTCCTGGTTTGCTGGAGACACTGTGGATTTATGCCTGCAGTCACAGCACTACCGTTGGCTCTCAAAGACCCAGCTTGGACCATTAGTCATGTGGCCCCTGCTGCCCAGCTCAGGGCTGTACACCATGTGGTTTCCAGGCGACTGTGTACACAGCAGCAAGCCTCAGGGGCTGGTCCCTTTTGATCCAGTAAAGTTTTGAAGTTTTATCTTCTGCTGGGCTTCATTAAGCCCTCAGTTGGTCTGAGGTTCCCCACTCGCCCCCCCACTTGTAAATATTGCGTGGTTCTTGGTATTCAGGTTAACAAATTAGCCCAATTAGATGGGTAAATTAGTCCTTCTAACTTTCTGAAGTCCCGCTGGAAGAGCTTTGGGAAATAGCATTTATAGTTTTCTAACAAGCAATTTAAGGACACCAGCATGTGGCATTTGTTTAAGAGTAAAGTGTCTTAAACAAAACCGTACTCAGAAACAGATTTTAGCATTTGCTCTCCGACGGACAGGGCAGGCTGCGACAGGGTGGTACCCTTGTGTTATTTGACATGAGCATTTCCAAGCTGGCTAATTTGGGGAGCCTACATTCAAGTACAGCAGGGTCTGACCCACATTTAATTCTAAAGCCTCATTTTAGCCAAAATGTTGGTGGGGGAATTGTTTTTGTGCCCCCTGAGATTTCTAGCAGTCTTCAGAAACAGTCTCAATTCTACCTGAGTGTAGAGGGTGAATAACTAGCAACTTGCAGGAAGTTGAGAGTGATCCCCTCAGAGAAGGCTCAACAGTTTCTGGTGTTAGGGGCCAAGAAGCAACATGGGAAAAAGTGACATCCCTTAAAAGCTTGTTGAGAATTCATAAACATTTTAACCTCATGGGGGCTCAGTTTCCTTTGTGTATATAATAGTGACGGTAATCCCTACCTCATAGGGTTACTGGAAGATTAAATGAGATAATGCATATAATGTGCCTGAAACATAATAGGCACTCAATAAATTTAAGGTCCTTTCCTTCCTTCCTGAATCCTTTCAATTTTTAGCCTCGGATGTCGGCATCCCTTTTCCTGGCTCAACTGCTCTTCAAACAATCTTATTAATGCCTATTAAAATGAAACCCAATAAAAGTGCCAATATTTGGTGTTGAAATAATTGATGTAGCAGAGTGAGCCTGTGAAGCATCCAAGCAGGCCCCTGGTGCAATTTAGCCTCACACCTGGGGGATGAATTTCACAACTGTAATTGCTACCATATAATTCTTATTAATGTTGTGCTATAATTCCTATTTATTCCACAGGGCTTGTAAATGCATTAGGACTTGTCAACATATTATTTTACACTGTTTATGATCTGTAGAATTATGTCCTTCAGGGTTGTATTGTGCAAAAGCACAAAATAAATTGTGTCAGGCCTCATTTAAAAAGAGAAAAAAGTGATGGCTTGTCAAGGTAGTTCTCCGCCCCTGCTCTCCTGGATAGGAATCGTGAAAGTAGATTCTTATTCAGTTCTTAGCAGAGCCTTTACCTTTTGGAGTAGGAGTATCCTCTTCCTGTGTGAGCCATATAACTGTGTTGGGTCAACCCTGCCAGGAAGTGTGTGTAGCCGAAAGGTAGATAAGTGTATAGGGAATCATCCGTCTTCCAGAAGCCAGACCTGCATACCCTTCTTACATCTTAACCTCAGAGCTCCTGACATTTCTACCCACCTTGTTGTAACCCTCTTTCAGTGCCAAAAGTGCTCTTCATCTTCCAGGCTCAAATCTATAAAGCAAAGTTCTGAAATTTATTTCCATTGAAGTGCAAGTACCTTAAAAGTACAAAATGCAACCCTCTCCCACAGCTGTTTGCATTTACTAGGCTACTAAATCATAAAACTAAAGGGACATCAGGCGCTATGTTGCAAGTGTGTTGAAAGGAATCTGCCATAGTTGGTTATTTCTGTTCTGGGCCCTCCTGGTGCCTTTGCAGCCACAGGTTGGCCTGCCATAGAATAAAGTTCTTGCTCAGCCTGTTCCTAGCTTTAACCTTTTATCCTCACAGGACTGTATCAGGGAATAACTGCTGTCCCTCCGGGCCTACAGTCATAGCTGCCTTGCCCTGCCAGTCTTCCTGGCCAAGGAAGCTGGGGCCAACCTGTGGTGAGGGACCATTCCTGACAGCCCTTGCTCTTTTCTTTGCTCCTGCAGGCAGTGAGTACGACGAGGAGGAGGTAGACTATGAGGAATCTGACAGCGATGAGTCCTGGACCACAGAGAGCGCCATCAGCTCAGAAGCCATCCTCAGTTCCATGTGCATGAATGGAGGGGAAGAGAAGCCTTTTGCCTGCCCAGTTCCTGGATGTAAAAAGAGATACAAGGTAAAGGAGGTGCAGCTTCACCTGGTATAACAGCGTGGAAACACACAGCCGCCTTTTTTATCCTGTGCGTTGCTGGGCAGATGGCCACAATACATGTGCACACAAGGCTGCCCTCTGGTGAATGCTGGCAGGGGCTCAGGATCTTTGGTGGGGTATTTTTCCCCTTTCATTAACCTATCTGGAAACTAGAGGTCAAAGAGATCTTCTGTAAGATGATCATGCCTATAAGTCTCCAAATTCATATGTCATCTTGGTGCCTAACAGTATCAAATGTGGAAGCTGAGGACAGCTCAGTGGTTGAGCCTGACCCTGGGTTCCATCCCCAGCACAGAAAAGAAAAAAAAAATAGCAAGTGTATCCATCTATTCATTTGCCAAACACCTTCCCAATAGATGGCTCTCTGGGTGGCTCACAGAAGGCCACTTTGAAGTCATAAAAGCCCCAGAAGGCTTTTGGAAAAGGTGGCAGGGTATTCACCTTCCAGCTGAGGCCATTCTTGCTGCCTTCCAAATGGTATGAAAGGGGATGGGGAGAAAAAAGTGCTTTTTTTTTCCCTCACCAAACCACCCACTTCACCATGAGCCTCCACCTTTCCACCTGTCTCTCTGCAGGTCTGACTCTGGGTGTCATGGGCAGCCAGATGTGCTAACTTTTCTATTAAGAAAACTCAGAGGGACAAAGCAATATTCAAAAAAGAAATGTGTAGCATTAAAGTGTGAGTCTAGAGAGCATTTAGCTCAACAAAACTGCAAACTTTCCTACAAGGTGTATTTTAAAATACAACCATGAAATAGAAATATAAAAATCAGAAACATACCTGGTGTACTTAATGAAATGCTAATTTACCTATGGCTCAGCAGATTGATTAAAAAAAAAAAGACTTGAAAGACAGAAGCACTTCTTACATTAAATGTTTCTGAACACTTAAAAAATAAAATCCATTTCAGTACTTTTTATCCCAGCTACTGATAGCAAAGCATAAACACAAATGCATCACATACCTAGGTTGTCTGAAATTTTGCCTGATCCAGGTACTGTTAGAATTTTATCAAGCAAAGTCAAGATGCTCTTTGTTTAAACTAAAATGCAAACCTCAGGATGGAGATGTGAGAACCCTACCACAGATTCCTTGAGAGATGCTGCCTTCAGGTCAGCGTGTCTCAAAACATGTGTACATCTTCTATGCCAGGAGGCATGAATTGTATCCTGCCTACCCTGGATGCCAACTGTCTCCATGTCAGTTATTCTTTCTCACTTGCCATCTTCCTTGCTCAAGTGCCTTAACGTTGTTGAAGCAATGTCTCATGTTAAAAGAGGGTGAAGTAATAAATTGTGGTGAAACTGACCAAAAAAAAAAAAAAAAAAAAAAGTACTTATAAACTCCCCCCTTTATTCTGTCCAGCAGAGTGAGTCATTCTCTCCCAGCTCTAGCATCATTTTCCTTTTCTTGTTCACATGCTTCCCCCCCAGTCGTTTCTATTTTCTTTGTCATTATCTTTTGTTTTTATTCTTTTGGGTTTCTAGCAGCTTACTCCTTCAGTTGCCTGGGTTAGTGAGGACTAGAATTTTCAAAGCCAAAAGAAAATTTAGTGAACCTCAGCCTGCAAAGGCTGCCATTAACTGTCAGATGACATGGGTGGCAATTAGTTTTCCTGATTCCCTGAGGGAAGTGTTTCCTTTTCTGAGTCAGAATGCAGGGTAAGAATACTTAGGTGGAGAACTAACACGTAACTAGTACTCCTAACCATATGCTTAAGATAAGCATTGTTGTAATCCCTAAAAACTTCAGTTCGGCTCTGGGAGTTATTGGCTGTGGGGCAGTGCTGTTCTCGAATCAGGTATTATTTATTTCATCTTGTGTGTTGCCTGACTATTGGTTTTGGTATTGTTGAGGGGTGGGTGGTAGTGAGCTAATATATGATGAAGTCAGGCAGAATGCAGAAGTGCTGCCTTTTTTTAATTCCTGAGGCAAGTCACACTTTTTAAATTCCTTGTCCCTTGCTTGCCCAGAGTCTCTTACTAGTTTAGTCTCTTGGATACTGACTCAGGACCAGCTCTTCTCATGTCATTGGCATTTACACAGTTGAGAGACAATGCGTATCTAACTTCCCAAATCTCAGGGTGCGAAGTAGGAGAGGGAGCCTGCAAAAGGGCCAAGTCTCTGCATTTTCCCCCAGGTTACTTCCTATGCCTAGTTTATTTTGTAGTAGAAGAAAAATACTCTTTTTCCTCAACCCTAAGTTCTTAGTTGTAACAGATCGCTGTAACAAGGCAGGCTAGCAAGAAAAGCAAACGGGAGTTTATTCATGGGAAATACCCAGGGGATGAGTGAGTACTTTTTAAAAAGATAGCTTTGAGTTCTAGCTCAGGTATTATCTTCAACAAAGAAGAGTGAAGTTTTAGAGAAGAGACAAGTCTTTGTGGAAACTTATGGAAAGGCAAAGAAATGGTCAATAAGAGCTAGTTAATAAAACTTGTTAGGATAGATGCCGCAGGTGCTATCTCCAGGCCTAGAAGTCCAGGCTTTGTCTACAGTGGTTGACATTTGTTCCAAGGTAGAATATTTTTTTTTGTTGTTTTGTTTTTGTTAAAGTATATCCTGTTTGGGGTAGAGGGAGAGCAGGGTACTTTCCTGTACCATCTGTATAATATCCTTCAGCTCAATAGTTCTTACTGGATGAGGCATGTTTGGGTGACACTTTGTGGTCTCCCACAGCTTCCTTTCTGTTAGTATCTCTCATTTTAATTCTGCCCCTCAAGAAAATGGGAACAGCAGAGAAATGCCATCTGCTCTGGATTTTGCCCATCTCCCAGACTCCCACCTGAAGACTGGGTGCTCATCCTCTGCCCTCTTGCCAAGTCCTCTGGTGCTGCTGGCTGTCAAATTACAGTCACAGTCCTCTCAGCACCAGCACGGGTCTTGGCTGTGACAGATCACCTGAGGACCAAAGAATAAAGGTATAGTGTTTGGGGAAGAGACAAACAGTGGACCCTTGCTGGCCACTGGAAGCCCAATGTGGTGGTGTGACTCATTCTTACAAATATGTCCCAGATGTTTCAGGATGGCGGTGTTGACCCCACTTTAGTGCTGTTCCCATTTCTCTGCTGACTTCGGACCAGAGAGTGCAGACACCCCACCTCTCCTTTGGAAAATGTATAAAAAAATGTGTGGAAGTGCTTTGAGGAATTTTCCTCTTGATAATTTTTATGACCTAGTGATGAGGACTAAATAGGTTTTCTAACTTTCTTTTAAGAAATATAAAGCAGAACAAGTCCCCCCACCTATTTCTGTGCTGCATAGAGTATGCTGGTTGTTTCAGCAAGAGAAATAAGGACAGACTGACCTTTGCCACCTAAAATAAAGTAGGACAACTCTGTAGCTTGGGGTTTTTCCACAAGAGGGCATGTTAGTCTTTACTTCCCTGCCTGGATAGAACCAAGTCCCCTAAAGAGCGCATCAGAAGCCCTGCGGGGAGTGTAACTGGATAGCAACTTGGCAGCAAATAATAACTGGAGCTTTAAAAATGTTTAATACCTTTAGCTCCCTAAATCTTTTAGAAATTGATTCTGGGCCGGGGTGTAGCTCAGTGGTACAATGATTGCCTAAAACATGCCAGGGCCTGGTACAATGCCCAGCACCATAAAATTTAAACAATTACTTTAAGAATGCTCTCAACAAAGATTGATGTACAAGAGAGAGTTTATCACTTAAAGTCAGAACAAATTTGGGAAGTACTAATCTTCTAACAGAATTCCGCCATCCCCAACACCACTAACAAAAGAACTAACGGAAATACTCTGCCAATAAAAAAATCTGTTTTCAAGAAATATTTAGTGATAAGGGAATGCTTACAAAATATCATTGTGGTAAAAAGAGGTGCTACATTTGTTAAATTGATATGTACACACAGATATACAAGTACACTGAAAAAATACTGAAATTTTTCTTTTTCATGCTTTCCTATTATTTTCTAAACTTTTACTTCATATTTGTCCTAATCATCAGGAGAAGACAGACATGATCTTTTCTAGAAACCTGCCTCACTCACCTGCACATCTATTGCCATCCTACCTTGGGGGGCTGGTGGAATGTTGCCAGACAAGGAGTTTCACTTTTAACCACCACTCTCTCTGCAGCTGATCTTTTCTCACATCCCTTTCTCCCCCAATCCCCAACTTCATCTTCTCCTTTATGTAGAAGATCAAGGCCCTTGAGAACTGAAAGTTATGTCTTTCCTATTTAGGGCACTTGTCAAAATTGTGCATAAGCCTGAGTACTAATAACAAATTTCAAACACAGAGGAAGACAGGATAGCTCAGCTTAGTGTCTTGACTTTAGGTTTCATGATTTAGAGTGGAATTTTTGGAATAGCCTCTAAACTGCTTGTTGTCCATAGTAAGGACAGGTAGGTCCTGATGGCAGAAAATCCACCCAAGTTCTCAATTACCCTCCTGTCCTACCCTTTTCCTTCACACTTGTGAACTTGCTAAATCACAGTAACAAAGGAATGGTTATGGTAGGTTCTTTGGCCAACCCTGGAAATAGCAAGTTCCCAAATGCCCAAATGATTGGCTTCCTGATTCTTCCAGTGATAATGGCAACATATAGGATTGCTGTCTTCCTGTCACACAGCCAGACCACAGCAGAGTTTATACTCAAGCTGGTTAGAAGCCATGGAGCCTGCTGGCCTTGTCTGACTCCTGTACAACTCTGGATCCATTTTCCCCGTGGACTAGCTTTAGCAATTTCTGGTTTCAAACCTCCCCAAACCTAATTAATCATGAAAACACAGACCTGGATGGAATTGTCTAGGCCCTGCTGCTTCACTATGCCTTTTTGCTTCATGGTTAATGCTCTTTAGTTTCCTTTGACAAGCTGTGAATAACAGCGGGCACAAGGTTAGCTACATTACTAACGATCCATCTTACAAAAAGAAGGAAATGAAATGTTTAGTAACCCTTAACCACAGAAAAGGCCCCGACTAGAGGTCATACCATTCCACTGTTACTGTGATTTACCAAGTTCACAAGTGTCTATGGGATACCATTATCACAAATGTTGGTACAGGTCAAATCATACTATTCTTAAGAGTTCATCCATCCATCCATTCACACATAGGCAATGGGAAGAGCGCCTCTAAAAAGTCACTGAAGCTTCTAACTGCACCAATCCTGAAAAGAGTCTGATCTTTCAAAAATATTAATAATGTAAATAATGACAGGCAACTTGCAAATTAAATGCTCAATAAGTATTCATTGAACTGACAAACAGGATAATCACAAGCAGGCATATACCCATGTCTACCATTTGTTAGCCAAGGGATGACTTTCTACCAGTCTTTTTAAATCTATTTATTTATTCTAATTTGTTATATATGACAGCAGAATGCATTTCAATTCATAGTATACATATAGAGCACAATTTTTCATTTCTGTGGTTGTACACAAAGTAGAGTTGCACCATTATTATCTTCATATGTGTACATTGGGTAATGATCCATGTCATTCCACCATCTTTCTTACCCATCCCCTCCCTCCCATTGCCCTAAATTTCCTCCATTACTCCCATTCCCCCCTCTCCATTTCATAATGGATCAAATTCCTCACATCAGAGAAAAGCATTCAGCATTTGGTTTGGGGGGATTAGCTTACCTCACTTAGCATAATATTCTCCAGCTTCATCCATTTAACTGCAAATGCCATGATTTTATTCTCTTAATGCTGAGTAAAATTCCATTGGGTTATATACCACAGTTTCTTTATCCATTGATCTCCTGAAGGGCATCTAGGTTGGTTCTACAATTTAGCTATTGTGAATTGTGCTGCTATAAACATTGATGTGGCTGTGTCCCTGTAGTATGCTGTTTTTAAGTCCTTTGGGTATAGACGGTGGAGAGGGATAGCTGGGACAAATGGTGGTTCCATTCCCAATTTCCCAAGATATCTCCATACTGCTTTCCATATCGGCTGCACCACCAGTGTATGAGTGTACCTTTCCCCCCACGTCCTCACCAACACTTACTGTTGTTTGTCTTCATAATAGCTGCCATTCTAACTGGAGTGAGATGAAATCTTCAAGTGGTTTTGATTTGCATTTCTCTAATTCCTACTAGTGATGGACATTTTTTTCATATATTTGTTGATTCATTGTATATCCTCTTCTGGGAAGCGTCTGTTCAGGTCCTTGGCCCATTTATTGATTGGGTTATTTGTTTTTTTGGTGCTTAGCTTTTTGAGTTCTTGATTAGTGCTCTATCTGATGTGTGAGGGGTAAAGATTTGCTCCCAGTATGTAGGCTCTCTATTCACCTAGTTGTTTCTTTTGCTGAGAAGCAGCTTTTTAATTTGAACCCATCTCATTTATTGATTCTTGATTTTATTTCTTTTGCTATAGGAGTCTTATAAAAGGAAGTTAGGGCCTAATCTGACATGATGAAGATTTGGGCCTACTTTTTCTTCTATTAGGTGCAGGGTCTCTGGTTTAATTCCTTGGTCCTTGATCTACTTAGAGTTTTGCACATTTAGAGATAGGGGCTTAATTTCATTTTGTTGCATATTCTACCACTTTTTTTTAATGGTCATAAAAGTATCACTGTATTGTTCGCCCCTCCTTCTCAAAAGGCGTGTGCGCGCACTCTCAACTTCAAGAATTTATCTCCCAGAGTACTATAAATTGGTTGCTCTGGCTAGGTAGTTCTTGTTGAAGTTGCAGTAAAACTTCATCTGAAGGCTCAATCCAGTTGGATACACAAATTGGCTTCTTCATTCACATGCCTGTGCCTCACCTGGGGAGGGGGCTAGAACAGCTGGGGCCATCAGGACACATCTAACCATGTTAGGTCAGTCTGTCTGATTATGGCTCTTGGACAAGACTGGAAAGGTGCTTCCTCACTGTGAAAAAGGATGGATGCAGGGAGAATAAGGGATGAAGGTACAGACAGCCCAAGCCACATGTTTGGACAGAGGCTGGTGTCCTTCTAATCTAGCTTTTTGGACAACCTTGAGACTCTGAAGACAGTCCTGTGGTGGCTATTTGGCACCTCTGGGTTCAACAAGTCCAATAGAATTCTCTATTGTTGGGCTTACAAAACTCTAAGAAGGAAATGTGATAGTAACAACCACCAAAACCATTTATTTATTTTTATGTGGTGCTGAGCATTGAACGCAGGGCCTCGAATGTGCTAGGCAAGAGTGCTCTACTGCTGAGCCACAACCCCAGCCCCAAACCCATATATTTAATAGTAGTCCTCTCAACATCTTCCTGAATAGTGAGACACGCACTGGGAAACACTTTTCTAACAAACTCATTCACTTAGCACTTACTACATGCCAGGAACTTGGTTACTCATCAAATAGTAGCAGGAGTCATCCCTGCTTTCCTGGAGCTCATTAAGGACATCCTATGAATGGGTAGAAAGACTGCTGGAATCTTCTTGTTGGGCATGGGATCAGGCCCATCAGGATTGGTATTTAAGTAGTATTTTAGGAAATAGCTCATGCTTGGCTTTCTGTGCTTAGCAACTCAACTATCAAGCTGCTGCTTCTCTATTCCCTTATTCTCTAATCTGACTTGGAAATTAAGACATATGCAAATATCACCTCTGACATTTCTTTCTTAAATCTTCCCCTTAATGCCTGCAACCTATTTCCTCACCATTTAATTGGTTGAACAATATTAACTGTTCATTAAACATGTAAAGAGTAAATCAAGAAATGGAATCTTACATAGAATATGCTAGTGAACTAGCAAACCAATTAGAAAAAATCCTGAAAGCATTGTTAATCTTAACATCTAGATAATAAGAACCTAGATGATAAGAAATCCAGTCACATTTTAGTGCCAAGACTAACATAAATAACCTAAACTTTTGAAAGCACATTTTCTATTTGGAATGCAGTACACATCAATAAAGGTAGGGCCTTAATCTGCTCTGGGTGCTTGGTTATCACATATACCTATGCTGCCATAGTGGTACCAGTGACACCAGCTTATGAGCAGAAAATAGACAAAAAGAAAATGGACAAAGATTCCAGGTAAGGTTAGAGGAAATTATTATCGTAGTTGTCTGAAATCAAGACTCCTGAGTTTCCAAATCAGAAACTCATACAAGTCTTTAAGATTTGTCCCAATCTGTTGGTCATCCTTAGTATATTTTTATACGACCGACCATTGTTAACTCTGTCAGAGTAGAAAAGTGATTCAGGGAGAAGCAAAGTTCCAGGAAGAGGGAACTGTTCCTATTCAGAACTTTTTTTATATGTAGTCTGAGTCTGAATATATACTGAAGATATATACTCTTTCAGAGTATCTCCTTAAGTGTGTGACCTGGTGCCCATTCACGAGGCTGTCCTTGAAGGGTCACAACTGGAGTTCATGCAAAGCTTTCTCTCTATAAATAGCTGCCACCCAGATGTGTTAACTGCAATCTTGATCCATACTAAGGTTAAAACCTGAGACTTCATCTAACAGGTAACATTTTGTCTTCTCCACAGAATGTGAATGGCATAAAGTACCACGCTAAGAATGGTCACAGAACACAGATTCGTGTCCGCAAACCATTCAAATGTCGGTGTGGAAAGAGTTACAAGACCGCTCAGGGCCTGCGGCACCACACAATCAATTTTCACCCCCCGGTGTCGGCTGAGATTATCAGGAAGATGCAGCAATAACATGCTGGTCATAACTGTGCCAAGAAATCCTCACCAGCAGTTGCTGATTTTGAAAACAGCCACCTTTTTTTCAGGGGAAGCATTCAGCAACCCTTTAAAGAATTAAATGCATGCTTTAAATTTTTCTGTAATTTTGGAATGACGTATCTTTGTAGAGTTAATGATTTTGTACATTTGCACATGTAATCATCATACCCATTTTCATTACTTTGATATAAGGTGCTAAACAAAAAAAGCTCTAGGTTCTTCAGCACATTTCCCCCAAAACAAAATAAAATTGAGGGCATGTTGCGTATGTTTAGTTGTATTGCAGTAATATCAATTGGGGGGAGGAGGGGCTGGCACTGAGATGTTTTTTCAAGATTGTAATGTGATTGAAGTTTTTCAACACATCAACTCACGTTCAAAACCAAAATAATACCTTCATTATCACACTGGTTACCATGCCTTACATAATGGAGTTAGTATTTGTGAGTAGAAAGACTTTAGGTAATGGAATTATAAATAAGAATGTTTAACATAATATGCTAAAAATATTTTCATATTTAAATAACATGCATAAAAGGTGTGCTTTCTGTGTTTTATATTTCACAAATCCTTTTGCTCTTTAAAAAGCTGAAAATCTTGCCATCTGACTTATCATTTTAGTGTTATAAATGGCATTTTTGTACAAAATATTCAGTTCACTCATTAACACATTTGTTGAGTGCCTGCTGGGTGCAAGGGATTCAAATACCAATTGTTAACTTGTGGACCAAGATACCAATTTAGTAAAGTACTTTCCCCCTGAAATCTGTTAAGAAACAAGTGCAAATTTTGTGCATATGAAATTCAGTTATAGCTTCACCTTCCAATGAAGTTTTAAAGCACTTTGTAGTTCTCTATTGCCAACAGTTTAATGTTTATGTGTTGCCAATTCTTGCAACCACTGCCCTAAGAAACCTGTGGGTTGCAAATCAGAATTAAAACTCTAAGCACGTTTCAAAGAGAAACATTTTTGTTAAGACCCTTATTGCCTCCTTTTCATGTTGTGTTTTGAGACTTATTTTAAAGGCACTTTTCCCATCACATTGTAGATGTGTGCATTATCATTGGAAATGTCTGTTTAGCTTTATAAAACATTTTGCCGAAATATGAAAATGAGCCTTATTGATGATTAAGTGCTTCTTGCAGCAGGTGGTCAAAGAACAGTGTGACTAATATGACCCATCAGAGTGACCCACATCTGGACTATTACTGAAGTTTCTCTCACCGACAGTACCATCATGCCTTGAGTGTTCTTTTCTCCCAAGTGCTATTCCTTAAACCCAAGAGTTTACCAGTTGCCTAATTATGCAATAAAAATTGTTTCGAGACAGCTAACTACCCACATACAAACTGGTGAAAAGCAAATTCAAATCCCTCATAAAATAACTTTCTTCCCATTCTTTCCATTTGATGAAAAGTCTTACACATGGCTGGGAAGCAGGGGTCCCTCCTCAATTTTTCAGACATTTTGAAAGATAATTCTGTTAAACAGATGGGTAAGGTTCTTTATTCACAAGCTGTGAATCTCTCATAATGAGGGATTTAAAAATATTTATAAAGATACTGCCCACTAAAAATTTCCTCGGATCTCCAAAGAGTGGTCTTGGTCCTGAATACAGTGTTATCCTATATTAAAAAGGTGATCCAGATATGAGAATCAACTAGTTGGTGCATAAAGCAGCCCTACTTGGCTATTTCATATCTACCTACAGTTGACCAAAAAAAAAAAAAAAAATTAGGCCAGCAATTATTATTTAGCTTTGCTCCTTCTAGTGCAAGAAACTGCAGGCTGGATCAGTAGTTCAACAGCTAAACAGTCATAAAATAGTCATTGTGCATGTTAAATTTCTTTCAATGATAAAACAAATTCCAATTTCTATTTACTTATTGTGACAGTATTACTAAACAGGTAAGGATGGGAATATTTTGTTATACCGTGTATAGTGAATGTATTGTACCGTGTCTGTGAAAACTGTGCTTTAAATTATATTTTCGTATGTTTTGCTGGGGACAGAGCACATTGTTTGAAGGTGACAGAGGTTTTAGAACTGAAGGCAACTTAATCAAAATTCCTGTCAAGAAAAGCTGCTTATAAATGTAAATGAAATCACATTAAAATAAACTGCCTCTGACCCAAAACAAAGATGGCTCTTTATTTTCATCCTCTATTATGAAAAAAAAAAAGTATTAAGCTTACCATGGGAACTAACATATCAGTGCCTTGTTCTATCTTTTCTATTATTTTGTAGTCTTCTGTGGGTGCATAGTTTATTCTCTCAAATTTTTGCTGTGACTGCGTTACTTTTCTAAGCTTCGGTCCAAAAACACTATTTAAAAGTAAAGGCTAATAAGATAGTATCATTTCATTAATAACAGCACTGTAACATTCAAAAGGTACTACTTTCAGATTAACATAAACCATAACTACTAGCTACAACAAAAAATGCTCACAGTGTTAAATATATTTTACCTGCATATTCTGCTTGTTTTGCGACTTACCAGGAAGCTGAAACATGGAGTCTTCAATGCTGCTGCCTCTCAGGACTGTCATGTTTTAAAACATTTGAATGCCTAATATACTGCCCTAGATTCAAAAATCTTTTCAAAGGATTCCTGCAATACAGATTCTCCTACAAATACAAGCAACATGATATGCATGCAGTTCACATACAGCACCCCAGAAGTCAATAGTAGATTAACAGTTTGCTCAAAGTAAGTCTCAACATTTGGATAACTACCAAAACAGTAAATGTTAAATTCTTAACATTGACATAAAGAGAAAGAAATACAGTTCCTAAGTTTTTTAAAGGCCAAAAAAATGTGCCCAAAATGCTAGGTTAGTGAAAAACTACTGCAAATAAATTTGACAAAGAAATTATGTGTCTTCTTTAATGTTAATTGGGACTGCACAGCAGACACAACTAAAGAAACACATTACTTTCATTTGGGTTTATGCATTTACATTTTTAATCACTGAAAATGTTATTTCAAATTTATATTCTCATCAGGAAAATGTGAAAAAGATACTGACATATTCCGATTTTTATGCCACAAACACTGTTATGAGGTCATTCAATATGAAAACAAATTGTACTGACTTGTTCCCTTTCCCCATTAGTTATAAATACAAATTCAACGCAGTTTAAAAATAGTCATTTGGTTATTCTAAATTTTGTCATAAAATTAGCAAAATATGCCTTCTATTAATTCCTAAAGCCAACATTTCATATATAAAAAGGGTATTTGCAAGCATGTGATCTCATTCTACCTGAACTTTCATTTCTAAAGAAAATTTTAGAACTATTATTTCACGAGCTAAATTATGGACTTTATATATATATATATATATATATTTTCAAAGAATTAACTTCGAAAAACTGTTATGATCAATGTTTTTTATTACATAATATTTAGTAATCATGCTCAATCAACAAGATCAACAGAAACTTGTAAATATTCTGCTAAGTAATCTAGCACACTATTACATATATAATTTTTTTCAGTGCAGTAACATTAAAATAATTCCTGTATCCTTTTTTCATACAATTTTGCAAATGAGAATAAATAAAGATATAAACACACAAGAACTTCTTTTCTTAAAGCAAGTAAGATTAATAGTTAGGTTAAAATTATATTTATTGATAAGCCAAAGACTGACTCTGACCCTAGCAACACCAAACTCAAAGTAGCTCTTTGTTGGAAAAGTATGGTAGAGGATGCGTGAAAGTGGTGCCTTGTGGTCTTCTTAGTGGTCTATTTGAAGTGACTTTTTTTAAATTGCTAAATTGTATTAAATCATAATAAAAAGTACCTAGTCAAAGTTTAGAACATGCTGATCAAAATGGGTCTGAACATGCCTTTCAAACCCCTGCTGGTCATAGTCGGGAGGGAACTGCTCGCTGCACATTGGGCACACCTTCCAGTGGCTTTCAACATGTTCTTCAAATTTGCTCTGATCATAGTTGGGAGGAAACATTAGTTCACAAAGAGGACACTTCTTGTGAACATCAAAGCTTAAAGAAAGGAAAATGAAGAATTACAGATTTTCTAATAAATTTTTAACAGCAGTAATGGTCAGTACATGACAATGTTACATTTATCAAGTTAGCTGACATTCCTATTGAACAATGTATCTTGAAAGCCTTTAGTTACTCCAGAAGCCTTTTTCCTGCTTCTCAATGCTGACTATAGATAATTGTGTATCTATTTATAAGGCCTTTAAGTTTAATCTATAATTAGATAAACAAAACCTTTTTCATTAAAAACCACTAGCATTGTGTGAAGTGAGGCTTAGTGCCAAAAATTCCTTTGGAGGTGGTAGTATTGGGAATTGAACTCGGGGAAACTCAACCACTGAGCCACACCCTTAGCCCTATTCTGTATTTTATTTAGAGACAGGGTAATACTGAGTTGCTTAGTGCTTGCTGTTGCTGAGGCTGGCTTTGAACCCGCAGTCCTCCTGTCTCAGCCTCCTGAGCCACTGGGATTACAGGCCACCCACCCAGCAAATTCCTCCACTTTTAACTAATAGGAAATGTCTATTGTAAAACTATAAGGGCAAATACAATTCAACAGTGCCCATTTGGTTCAATAGCCAAGTTAATATGACATTGTTTCTCAAAGGATTGCACGTATCAGAATCATCCAGAGGGCAGTGAATTGCTAGGCCATATACCTGATTCTGTAGGCCACACACTGGGAACTTTCATTTCTAACAAATTCCCAGGACCAACAACACTTTGAGAACCACTAGTCTTAATCCATGTAATTCTACAAAAGAAAAGAAAAAACCTACCTGGAATCAAAGCAAAAGCCTGTTCCATGCCCACGTAAATGCTGACTTGGTGGATCAGAAACAGTGGGTACATTTTCATCTTCCTAAGCAGAAAGAAAATAATTTTAAAACATTTTTGAGAAATGTAAAACCAACTATCAATTCCTTAATTTGAATAAGCAAATTGACAGAACAAAGGAAGAAAATTATACCTTAATTATCATTTAATTAGACTTTCATATAAATATGTTTGACAGTGAACTTTACAGAATATTTCACTATGTACTAACAGTCTGAACTTCTTAAAAAAGAGGACTCCCCATACCCACAGGGCATACTTTCCAGGATCTGTGGTGGATGCATGAAACTGAGGATACTACCCAACTGCAAATAATTGTTATTGTCTATATATACATACCATACATATGATAATTTCTAGATGAGTTATGGTAAAAGGTTAACAACAATAATAAAGTAACATAAAACAGTATACTCTAACAAAAGCTATGTGAACGTGGTCTCTTTCTCTCAAAAAATCTTATTGAACATTCTCACCTTTTCATTTAAAGGAAGCAATTCAGTTTCCCTTTAGCATATTCCAATTGCCAGCATCAATTTCTCTAGTGCTTTAGTTCCCTTATTAGGTAAAACAGGATTACTTGAACATATACACTGTGATACTCTCACAGTTGATCTAAAAACTGGGATAGCTACTAGGTGCCTAAGAGGCAGGTAACTTATACAGGGTAGATAACACTTGTACGAATGGATAATTCAGGTTGTGTGTGAGATTAAGACTATAGGTAATTAAAAACCATGCTACTTAGAACAACACATAATTTTAAAAGTATGGATTAATTCCAGAATTTTCCATTTAATATATCCAGACCACAGCTGACTGCACATAACTGAAACCAGTGATAAGGGTATACTACTGTACAAGAACAGTATTTAGTGAAATGGAGACATATCACATGTATCTGTGTGAATGAAGGTAAAACCAAAACCATTCAAACCTATTAATTGTAATTAATTTTACTGACTATTTAATCATTCCACAGACTGAGTGATCATTTTCATAAGACTGCATTCATCAATTTTGTGCTTTCGTGAATAAGCCTAGAGTATAGTATACTGCAGGCTAAGATGCCACACACATTCTATCAGATACATTATTACCCCTGCTCATTAAATCCTAGTGGGGGGAAGGAGAGCAAAAGCAATTTACACTTTCTAAATATGGTAATGATAACCCTATTATTCTAGTTATGTTTTATCACCTATTTTCTAATCCAAGGGAAGTGGCATTGGAGATGTTACAATGAAAAATGGCAATTTCTTGTGAAATTCAACAACAAAAAAATCACCTGATAGCTCAGAATCAGAAAATATGCATTGTCTTTGAAGAGCCAATTCATCAATGAAATCTCTCATGTCATTGATATTCAAAATGATCAATCAACAAAAACATTATTAAAAAGATACTACACCATATCAAGTGGGGTTCATCCCAGGGATGCACTGTTGGTTCAACATACAGAAATCAATAAACATAATTCATCATATCAATAGACTTAAGGAAAAGAATCATATGATCATCTCAACAGATGCAGAAAACGCATGTGACAAAATACAACACCCCTTCATGTTCAAAACACTAAAACAACTAGGGATAGTAGGAACATACCTCAACATTCTAAGGGCTCTATATGCTAAACCCAAGGCCAACATCATTCTAAATGGAGAAAAATTGAAAGCATTCCCTCCAAAACCTGGAACAAGACAAGGATGCCCTCTTTCACCGCTTCTATTCAACACTGTCCTTGAAACTGCAGCCAGAGTAAAGGGATATGAATAGGAAAAGAAGAACTCAAATTATTACTATTTGCTAATGACTTGATTCTATAGTTAGAAGAACAAAAGAATTCCACACCAGAAAACTTCTAGAACTAATAAATGAATTCAGGAAAGTAGCAGGATATAAAAATCAACATCCTTAAACCAAACATGTACCTATACACCAGCGATAAATCTACTAAAAGAGAAATTAGGGAAACTACCCTATTAACAACAGCCTTAAAAAAAAAAAATTCATTTGCGAATCAATCGACCAAATAAAGTAAAAGACCTCTACAATAAAAACTACAGAACACTAAAGAAATTGAAGAAGACCTTACAAGATGAAAAGACCTCCCAATGCTCCTGGATAGATAGAATTAATATTGTCAAAATGGCCATACTACAAAAGGATAGGTAGAATTAATATTGTAAAAATGGCCATAATAACAAAAAAGTTATATAGATTTAATGCAATTCCTATTACAATCCTAATGACATTCTTCATAGAATTAGAAAAAGCAATCGT